GCAGGGCTCCATGGCATGTAATGGTGACTTCGGAAGAAAAGCAGTTAATGACCATAACTCTGAATCTCTCCCCCTTCCTTCTTCTTCTGCCAGATTTATATGGTTAACGTGACATCATATGGCATGGGGTGTCCCTTTGGTCAACTGGGATCAGTAGTCCCTGCTGTGTCCCCTCCCAACTTCTTGCACACCCCAGTCTGCTTGCTGGTGGGGTGGTGTGAGAAGCAAAAATGGCATTAAAGCTGTGTAAACACTGCTCAGAAATAACAAAGACATCCTCATGTGATCAATGCTGTTTCCATCACAAGTCCAAAGCATAGCCCTGTGTCAGCTACTGTGAAGAAATTTAACCCTATTCTGGCCAAAAATAGCACAGTTCTGTATGTTTTTCCTATTTTTGTAAAAATCTGTCAGCTGTCTTTGTGTCAACTACAGACTTCTACATAAAAATAATAGTGTTTGTTTCAATTTCTGTTCTTTTCTACAAGTTCCTAAAATTACTTTTGTGGGGTCGTGTTAGGTTTTTAAAGGTGTTACTGAACTCAATTGTATTATGTTCAGGAATGCTACTCTTAATTTGTTCACCTAGTAAGAGATCTGAATAATTTCTCTGCTGCTAGGCAGAGCCCATCTTCTAGCTGTCCTTAAAATACCTGTGACAAACTCATACATTTTATTCTCTTAAACAGAGAATTAGTTGGTACTTCAGCAAATTATTCAATTGAGCCAGAGTATGTGAGGTAGGGACTGCCACTGAATTCTGCAGATGCCTCTTGATTTCAAATTCAGTTGCCTTCTGGATTTAACTCTTCTGCTTGACTCAGGGCTGCTCTAGCTTTATGGGACTGAAAGTAAACTTTTCTGAAGGCATTTCCAGGTTTGCATCCTGAGGAAGCCCAAAGCAGTTTCCCTCCAGCAGGTCAGACTCCTTAAGTTCCAAAGCCAGACAGCATTTCAGGTGTGCCTGTGTGCTTTCTGTTGTCTTTTGCTTGCCTCTAGCCACATTTCCAGTGAACAATCTGATTTTATATAGCTTTGTGCTCAGTGTGCTGGTGGGTTTTGATCCCAGCACAAATTTTCTGGCTTTTAGGTGGTGACTGCTTCAGAGGTTAGGTCCATAAACTCTTCCATTGAGTTTAGTCTTTGCTGTCAGTTACTTTGCAAAATGATGCTGAATTCAATACAGTTGCCCACAGACTCAGTCTCATCCAGCCCCTTAACTGGAAAATGGGGAGGTGAGGTGAAATGAGACCTTTGTAATCCAAGAGGAAATGGTCAGTGACCTGCTACACCACCTAAACATCCCTAAGTCTGTGGGGCACCCATGAGTACTGAAAGAATTGGTGAATGCAAGTGCCAAGCCTCTTTCCGTCGTTTGCCAGCAGTCCTGGCTAACAGGGGAGGTCCCACTGGATTGGAGGTTATAAAATGTGGTACCGATCCACAGGAAAGGCCAAAAGGAGGATCCAGAGGGAACTACAGACCTGTCAGTCTGACCTCAGTGCCAAGGAGGGTCATGGAGCACATCATCTTGAGTGCCATTACACACCACGTACAGAACAACCAGGTGATGAGGCCCAGTCATCATGGGTTTATGAAAGGCAGATTGTGCTTAATGGACTTGATCTCTTTCTATGACAAGATGACCTGCCTGATGGATGAGGAAGAGTTTGAGGATTTTGTCTACATGGACTTTTTTAAGGCCCTTAACACTCCCACAATATTCTGATGAATAAACTGGCTGTTCATGGCTTGGATGGGTGTACAACACCAAGTTGGGTGGCAGTGTTGATCTGCCTGAGGATAGGGAGGCTCTATAGACTGACTTGGACAGACTGGGTCGATGGGCTGAGATCAACTGTATGAGGTTCAACAAGGTCAAGTGCCAGGGTCCTGCACTTGGGCCACAACAACCCCATGCAATACTACAGGCTGGAGGAAGAGTGGCTGGAAATGTGTCTGGCAGAGAGGGACCTGGGGGATCTGATTCGTAGATGGCTGAATATGAGCCAGCAGTGTGGCCATGTGGCCAAAAAGGCTAATGGTATCCTGTATTACAAATAATACAGGATGTATTACAAGTAATGTGGTAGGCAGCACTGGGGAGGTGATCCTTGCTATTCTCTTGCATTGGTGAGGCCACACCTCAAATACTGAGTCCAGTTTGGGGCACCTCAATACAAGAAAGACATCTAGGTGCTGGAGTGTGTCCAAAGAAGGGCAATGAAGCTGGTGAAGAGCCTTGGCAACAAGTCTTAGAAAAGTGGCTGAGGGAACTGGGGCTTTTTAGTCTGAAGAAAAAGAGACTGAGGGGAGACCTCATCACCCTCTACAGCTACCTGAAAGGATGTTGTCAAGAGGTAGGCACTGGTCTCTTTTCACAAGTAACTGGTGACAAAACAAGAGGAAGTGGCCTCAAGCTGCACCAGGAGAGGTTTAGACTAGACATTAAGAAGAACTTTTTCACTGAAACGGTTGTCAGACGTTGGAATGTGCTGTCCAGGGAAGTGGTTGAGTCACCATCCCTGGGTGTGTTTAAAAGTCATCTAGATGTGGCACTTGGGGACATGGCTCAGTGCTGGACTTGGTAGTGTAGGGTTAATGGCTGGACTTGATGATCTGGAAGGGCTTTTCCAACCTAAGTAATTCTGTGATTTGTGTTGGAGTATGTTTTGTGTCGGTGTTTACCATGGTGAAACAGGTTTCCATCCATCTCTCATGTATCTTCATGAGTTCTTTCTGCTTAATGATACAATTTTACATTTTTATTTTTAATGTTAGCTCATCTGTTGACAGCTCAAGCAACCCACTTGCATGTTTATGCCAGATTTGCCATTGTAAATTTCAGTACCTTTCCAGAGAGGTAGATACTGTGTGTATTTTAGAAAGGGACCTCTCTCTAGTTGCTTAAATTACTTACTAATTCTTAATGCTTAAAGGTTCTGATGTCCTTGAAAGTTCACACATTTGCCTTATTATAGGACTCAATATTGCTAATAGTTAATGTAGACCTCATAGTTTTGGCAGAGCAAAAAAAAATAATTTTGAGTGAGGGATGTTTGTTTTTTCAAGGTTTTGGAGCATCTTGTTGTATGCACAGACTTTAAGAATGGTAGGAAATGTGTTACTGCATGAGAATTAAGTATTGAATCTGAGATTTGTTCCCAGGTTCTACAGCTGAATTCCCAGGGTATCATGTTTTTAAAACCATGCTGCCCCCCCAGCCCCCAAATATGTGCAGTCACGTGCACACACAAGTAACAGTGCTAGGCTGTTACTGGAGTTTTATGGTGTAAAAACAGCCATGAACGTGTCCCATGTTAGACTAAAGAAACCAGGTTACACTGGTAGTCTTTGTAGTTAGCTTCCATTCTTTGCCACTGGTCAAAAGAGACCTTTAAAGTGAGTTGTGATACTTATGTGTGTAATTATTTTTTTCCTTGTTATGTTCAAGGGGTTAGAGTGTTTATTGAGAAGAAGGCACAGCTGACGCTTCTAGGAACTGAAATGGACTATGTAGAAGACAAACTGTCCAGTGAATTTGTCTTCAATAATCCAAACATCAAAGGAACATGTGGCTGTGGAGAAAGCTTTAACATCTGAAATCTGAGGGCTATTATTTGACTTTGAACACCTCAAAACACTTACTATTACGGCTTTTGGAAGCAAATGCATTTTATTCAGGTTCATAGGCTGTGTAAAGTGGGGATACCGTTAAAAAAATAAAGCTAAAATAATTTTGAAAATATTAATTATGTGTTAAATTCCACCGCTGATGTAGTTACGCTGTAACCTGTGATGAGTTGGCATCCAAAAGGTAAGAACAGTGAAGTGCTGTAGTAACATTTCTGTACTTTCACATGCCAAGGAAATAAAATATTGCTATACTTGCCCTTTGTCATTTTCTTTGTCCACGCTACTGACACTACCCCATCCAAAACCTATTTGAAATAATGTATTGCCTGTGGGTTCTGCTTTGATTTTGGGGGAGAGGATGGAGCACACTAAAAAAACAATATTTATGTTTGCTCGTAAAGATTTATATACGTGAGCACACAGTCCTCAGCTTCAGAATTCATGTTGATTATGTAGATGCTTGCTTTGTTTTTCTAATTTTCTGGTGCTTTCATCTTTTTACGTGTAGGTTTTCTTGTGGCTTGTTTTCCCATAAATCTGGGGAAGTCCAAAAAGATATTAATGTATTGATACAGCTGTAGGCTGCCCTGGCACTGCCTGTAGGAATGCTTCAAAATGGGCTAAACCAGTTTTAATTCTGTTCCTTTCCTTGATGAAAGCACAATCTCTGCTGTAGTTAACAAGTAACTATTGAGAACATGAAGTAGGTTGAGGCACTGGAGTGCTAAAGCAGGATACACACAGGCCTTGTTTCTCACATTTGTAATTTTATCTTTCTTGACTTAAATTGCAAAGTTGGTAAAACTGCTTCTAGGTTCTGATTTTGAATGTGCTGTCTGTGCATCAAAAACTATGAATGCTTTTTTGAGAGAGATATCTTAACTTTTTTTTTTCTTTAAGTCATGTCTGCTCCTAATCTTTTTACAGTTTTAACTCTGTTTTGTAGCTCTCTAGGTACTAGGGTTTTTCACCAAAGCTTATGATAACTTCTTTTTAACTCATGTCTTTATGTTAACATGGTAACAGGAGAAAAAGCATCTCTGATTTTTAAAACCCTAGTAATGAATAATTGTTTTCAATTACTCTAGACAGTAATTAAAATGTTTATAGGAGGCCATTTTTTTCTGTGGAATGTAAACTTATTTTCCCTTAATCAGAATTTTGTAAACCAGTGTTTTTCAAGCTTATAAAGTCTGCATCTCTTCTTCCTCTGGTGCTCAGGCAGAAGTAGAAATGTCTATCCAGGCCTTCCCAAAAGCTGGAATGAGATAAGTACTCTTCCATCCTTCTATTTCCATGTTTCTCAGATTGTCCAAAGATGACATTGTGCAGCTAAACTGCTCAGTTGTGCAGAAGAGAAGATAATGAGTCTGCCTGGGCAACTGTTGGGAACAACTGGTGAAAAAGGTGCAGATGCAAAGTAGAGGACAACAGCGACTGGAATCTTCCAGTCAAGGGTGAGAAGGTGTTGAGATGGAAGTGAACTGAGTCCATCAAGGCTGCAAATGGAAAATCAAGAGGACACATTGGTCTGGGCTGTTGTACCCATGTGCCTGTGAACAACTTTGGTGTAGTAATGTGCTGAAGGCAGGACTGCAGCTACATTTTTACTCTTCCCTCAAAGAAAGACTAAAAATGAACACAGAATTCTTGATCTGTTTTATGTAGTGTACAGCAATAGAAGGTCTGAATTTCCACACCTGTAGATTAAGGTTAAGTACTTCAATTTTGGTTGTATACTACATCACCTGATGAGAAAACACTGCTTCTCTCGACAGTCAACTGTTGTACACTATATATAGTAATGCACAAATTACTGGCAGTACATTGGCTGTGTGAATTTATAGTACTGTAATTCTTTTGGTCATGCCAAACAAATGGGGATAATGTGATTTAGGTGCATTAATATGCCTATAACTCCAAGCTAAGGGCATTTCTTCAATTTGTATTTCTCTTCTTGCTAGATGATAAGACTTTAAATGAGGCAGCACCGGTAGTTGCTAAGAGTGCTAGTTCTTATTGATTAACCTTGTTTTGGTGTGTTTTTTGGTGGGTGGCTTTGGTTTGGTTTGGTTTTCAGATCTGTGGCACATATAGCAATCCTTTTTGTGTGGTTTGTGTATATGTCTTGAACGAAAGTTTGCTCTTTCATACTGCCATGAAATAATCCTCTAAATTGTCACTTTACTAAAACACCTAATGCACAACTTGTGAAACTTCTGTTAAAGTGCTATTTACAGTTGTATAGGAACATGGTTTTTTTGATTGGTCCATTATAATTTTGTGCCATACTGAATGTAGTGTTCTCAGTTACAATAATAAACATTGCTTGTTGGTAAACACAAAATACTCCCATCTTGAACAATGCTGTTTACAATAATAAGCACTGGGGAGGGGAAGGTAGGTATGTATGCTGGGATTACAAAGTAGATACAGAATTACTGTTACCTGAGTTAGTCTTTCTCAGATATATTAAACCTTTCCAAATGTTGACAGCATTGGAATAGCATAGAAGAAGGCTGCAAAAAATGTAATAACCTATGTGCAGAAAAGTATTTACTCCTGTTGGTAGGGTGGGCTGTAGATGTGTAGGTTTCTGTTAAAACTTCATGATGTATCGTTCTCCGAATAAAGGGCAAGATGCGTATTTTGAAGGCTTCTAAATGCCAACAATTTAATGGAGCACATTTTAGTGCAGGGAAATAATTTTGCTCGAATAAGGATGTAAAAGTTTTTTGACTGGCTAGGCAACTGAAGGTGGGAATCGATAGGTATTCCCTTCAGCGCTGCACCCTGGCATGGATAAGCCGTAGTGTACCGAGTTCATGACACATTCTAGATTTCCTCTTCTGGCACTTTCCTCTTGTAAAAGCAAAGTTTTATTTTCCTGTTAGGAGAAGATTCTGAATGATGATTGGGGGTGAAGTAATAATTTTTGGGAAAATGCTAGAGTTTGCTGATATAGTTGCATATTCATGATGCTGGAGAGACAGCCAGCCAGACAATCATGAGCCTGGATATGTAACTGTTACCTTTCTATTGGCAGTTCTTACAGAACTTGGAAAAAACACTTGCACCAGCAAGTCAGTATTCCTGATCCACGCCTTCTTACAGCTCTCTCTGAATGGCACAAGAACGACTTCTTTAGGAAAACATTTAACAGTTCAATATACAAGTCACCCTGACAACAGACGATGGGCTAAAATGAAACAAAAAATAACAGATAATGGGACTATGATATTTTTTTTTAATTGAGGAGACTTTTAAAAAATTAAATGCTGTCTGCTGTAGGTTCCTTCTAGTGTTTTTTTTTAATTGTCATTCTCCTCATTTATTTAAAACAACACCTTCACTGGTGGAAAAATTCTCCAACTGTAACACTACTGTGCTTACACTGGCTGCCTGGCCATTTATTAAATACGTTTTTTATGACCCTAAAATTTTGCAGCCTCTTCTGACAGAAGAATTCCATCATTGGCTAATGTGGCAGCATGCATCTCTGTGTTCATCCCAAAAGAACCCTCAAAATAGGATGTGGAAAGTTACTTTTTCTCATCACCAGGACAGCTTTTTGTCTAGAGAGTGACTGCTGCCAGGCAGGCAGCATTGTGTGGGGCTTTGTTCCCTGCTGCTGCTTTTAACCTGCAGCAGAGGTCAGAAGGTGCATGGCCACGTTTCTGCTGCATTCACCATCTTATTTTGGAATGCCAGAGTACATTTGCTTACACTGGTGAAAACTCTTGTCCTGACATGTTTGTCCTTCTTGTGTTCTACTTTGTGCTTTTTACCTACTCAAGGGTGGCAGATGACTGCAGAAATGCAAAACACTAAATCCCTTCATGCTTCCCATGTGAAGAGAAGCAGACAAGAAGAGGGCAGCTTTCTGACCAGCTTTGGCTCATTGAAGCATTGTATTTTTCACCATTCCTCCCCTTGCTAGTAGCCTGCTAATGTACTTCATTAATGTGTCCACTACACCCTATTGCAGATTTGTTTCTAATGGTGGTAGCTTCTAGGGTAACAGAAGTTTTTTTGCAGAGATGTACACTCCAGTGGGGCAAAGAATCTCACAAAACAGTGTAGTCTCCATCCACAACAAATACTTTCTTATCTGGGTTTCTGTCACTGGCTTAAAAGGCATTTTGTTTAGACTTATGTGAAGCAAAACAAGTTTCCCACAGTTTCTTACTGGTTGCACAATTATTTAACTGCTTATTATTTTAATGAAAAATACTTTTGGTAGCTTCCTTAAAGCTAAGTGTGGACGACAGGATTAAGTTCTCCTTACTAGCTAATGGAACAAAACAGCCTGCAAAAAAACTTTGAAATAATCTGAGTAGCAGAACACAACTCACACAGAGGATTTGCAACCAGTCACTTCCTTTTTCAGCCACTTGTTTTAATCTTCAATTTGTTCACCCAGAGCCATTCACATAGAACTTTCATTCCTAATCACAGCAGTCATTCTGACTAAACACTAAGTAATTTTGTGGAGTGAGGCTGTCGGGAGCCGTTGCAGTCCCAGAGGCTCCCGGCAGTCGAGATGTACTTCCATGACTTCTGCCCCCGAGTCTGGAGGGGGTTTTAAATAAACCCGAGGGCACACGTGGCGCTCATGGCTGCTACGGGTCTGTATTTTAGTGAAAACCTAATTAATACTCCCCCCAAATAAATAAATAGAAACCCCAAAACTTGGGTATAGAAACTGATAATGTGAATCTGCTGTTTGGAAACTTTGTTGAGAAGAAAAATCATATTGCTTCTCCTTGAGATAAATGTCCTGAATTTCTGCCGTTACTGTTTGAGCTATGAACAGAGATTCAACCAACCAATCAGTGGCAAATCTTGCTGGAGTGGTTTTACAAAGTCCTCTCTACTTGTCTCCTCTGTTGGAGGTTGCCACTTCTGTAAAAAAAGAACCTGAGCCTCAGCTGTTGAGGGTGAGTTTATGTTATTGTGTTGCACTGTGCACTTACATGATCCAAGGAAAGAACCTGTTTACTTGAGCTAAAATGTGGAGAAACCTCAGCAAAGTGGTAAGTAGTTATATAGTGAGTGTAGTTTACATACTTAAACTACCCTGTCAAGAAGAACTAGAGATCATCTCCCCATGTCTTAGAGAGCCTGATGTATCTCCTGCAAGGATACTCTTAAGTTGCATCCCATGGTATTCTTTTCATGAAGAACCTCTGGTTTCTATAAGCAATTGAGAACATTAAAATGCTCTTGCAACAACCAAAGTTTGTTAAGCATGATCTTTGTCATTCCTGTTTGGTTGACGTAGCCCACTGTGGAACTCTGAAGCAGGATGAAGAGACCCAGAAAAATAGTTTTGGACTCCAGATTTGGAT